GGGGGGGAGTTGCGGTCCTTGAAAAACGAGGACAACTGAGATGTACAGGAGTGGAATGCCTCATCCTGGGAGCAGATGTGGCAGAGGCGAAGGAATTGGGAATAGGGGATGGCATTTTTGCAGGAAGGTGGGTGGGAGGAGGTGTATTCTAGGTAGCTGTGGGAGTCGGTGGTCTTGAAATGGATATCGATTTCTAGGTGGTTGCCCGAGATGGAGACAGAGGTCCAGGAAGGAGAGGGAGGTATTGGAGATGGTCCAGGTAAACTTAAGGTTGGGGTGGAAGGTGTTGGTGAAGTGGATGAACTGTTCGAGCTCCTCGTGGGAGCACGAGGCGGCACCGATACAGTCATCAATGTAACGGAGGAAGAGGTGTGGTTTAGGGCCAGTGTAGGTACGGAAGAGGGATTGTTCCACGTAACCTACAAAGAGGCAGGCGTAGCTTGGGCCCATGCGGGTACCCGTGGCCAACCCCTTTGTCTGTAGGAAGTGGGAGGAATTAAAAGAGAAATTGTTGAGGGTGAGGACGAGTTCGGCTAAGCAGATGAGGGTGTCAGTAGAGGGGGACTGGTCGGGCCTGCGGGACAGGAAGAAGCGGAGGGCCTTTAGGCCATCTGTATGGGGAATGCAGATGTAGAGGGACTGGACGTCCATGTTAAAGATGAGGTGTTGGGGACCGGGGAATTGGAAGTTCTGGAGGAGGTGGAGGGCGTGGGTGGTGTCACGGACATAGGTGGGGAGTTCCTGGACCAAGGGGGAGAAAATGGAGTCCAGATAGTTGGAGATAAGTTCGGTGGGGCAGGAGCAGGTGGAGACAATGGGTCGACCAGGGCATTCAGGTTTGTGGATTTTGGGAAGGAGATAGAAGCAGGCGGTGCGGGGTTGGGGAACGATGAGGTTGGAGGCCGTGGGTGGGAGGTCACCTGAGGTGATGAGGTTGTGGATGGTTTGGTGCTCGGGGGTGGGGTCATGATCAAGGGGGCGGTAGGAGGAGGTGTCGGAGAGTTGCCATCTGGCCTCGGCGATGTAGAGATCAGTGCGCCATACTACAACTCCGCCTCCCTTGTCCACGGGTTTTATGGTGAGGTTGGGATTGGAGCAGAGGGCTGCACGTTCTGCGGGGGAGAGGTTGGAGTGGGTGAGAGGGGTCGAACGCCCTCAACCGTGTCTCCCACATTTCCCGCAACTCATCCCTCACACCCCGTCCCCGCAATAAGAACCAAAAAAGAATCGCCCTCGTCCTCACGCACCACCCCACCAGCCTCCGGATCCAACGCATCATCCTCTGACACTTCTGCCATCTGCAATCCGACCCCACCAAAGACATCTTTCCCTCCCCACCCTTATCTGCTTTCCGGAGGGACCACTCTCTCCGTGACTCCCTTGTCCGCTCCACACTCCCCTCCAGCCCCACCACACCCAGCACTTTTCCCTGCAACCGCAGGAAGTGCTACACCTGCCCCCATACCTCCTCCTTCACCCCCATCCCAGGCCCTAAGAAGACTTTCCACATCAAGCAGATGTTCACCTGCACATCTGCCAATGTGGTACACTGCATCCGCTGTTCCTGTTGTGGCCTCCTCTACATCGGGGAAACGAAGCGGAGGCTCGGGGACCGCTTTGCAGTACACCTACGCTCAGTTCGCAATAAACAACTGCACCTCCCAGTCGCGAACCATTTCAACTCCCCCTCCCATTCCTCAGACGACATGTCCATCCTGGGCCTCCTGCAGTGCCACAACGATGCTACCCAAAGGTTGCAGGAACAGCAACTCATATTCCGCTTGGGAACCCTGCAGCCCAATGGTATCAATGTGGATTTCACAAGCTTCAAAATCTCCCCTCCCCCTACCGCATTCCAAAACCAGTCCAGCTCGTCCCCGCCTCCCTAACCTGTTCTTCCTCCCACCTATCTCCTCCTCCCACCTCAAGCCGCTCCCCCATTTCCTACCTACTAACCTCATCCCGCCCCCTTGACCTGTCCATCCTCCCTGGACTGAACTATCCCCTCCCTAACTCCCCACCTACACTCATCTTTACTGGCTCCAACCCCGCCTCTCCAACCTGTCTGTCTCCTCTCCACCTATCCTCTCCTCTATCCATCTTCTATCCGCCTCCCCCTCTCTCCCTATTTATTTCAGAACCCCCTCCCCTCCCCATTTCTGATGAAGGGTCTCGGCCCGAAACGTCAGCCTTTCTGCTCCTATGATGCTGCTTGGCCTGCTGTGTTCATCCAGCTCTGCACCTTGTTGTCTCGCTTGTTCAAAGAAGTGAGTTTTAATAAGTGCCTAAGAGAACAAAAGTGAAGCAGATGCAAACAAGTGTAGAGTAGGATCCCAGAGCCAATGACACTGGGAGCTGAAAGCGTATCTACTAAAGTACCAAGAAACAATTAAAATATGAGATGCACGTGGCCAAAACTAGCTGAGAACAGACATGAGATTTATGGGGCTGGAAGAGATTATGTAGGTAGTGAGAATATAAAGGAATCTGCACAGCCATTTCCTGCCTGCGGGATATTCGCATTCATATACACTCATGTGTTAATTGTATAAATTAAGATTCAGTGTCTACAAGGGGAGGGGCACTCATTGGAAATAACTTGTGCACATGAATGCCTGTTTATATTTCGCAGTTATGTCCATACCCAAGAAGAATCAATGACTAACATATTCTACTTGTAAAAACACAAATCGGAACTATTTTTCATCGTTACCTTGCATCCATAACACTTTTCACTCAAACTATCCTTAACATAATACAATATTATAAGCAATGACTGTAAAATAAACTTACTTTTGTATTCCCTTTTTACTTCCAAGTAGCGACTCCAAGTAAGCAAAGCTTACTGCTCGATAAAAGCAGTTGCCATCGCCAAGTGTTTTTCTGAAGTAGGCATATTTTCGACCAATATCCTTAAAAACAAAATCTCACATAAGTTGACAAGTAATTTCCAATTCAGTTTTTTCAACATTTAAGTCACATGAAGTTTGCTGAAAACCTTTACCCATTCAAACTAGCATAATGGAAAGTAGTCCTTGAGGAATTTTGTTGCAGAGTGCCTTGGCATGTGTATGAAAAAAAAACAAATAGTTATATCAGCAATTTTTTTTTTTAGCCAAAAATGAACTGAGAAAAGCAAAACTATTTGGAAATTTCACATTGGAATCTCACAAAAAACAAAATCAGGGTGAAGATTTGCTGTTGAATTATCAGTATGACCGTAAATACATTTTGTTGAAGCTTTGTTCAATGTTTGGCTCCTCATAACTCAAGCTATTATGCTTATGAAATTTGTAAACCAGTTGGAGCTAGAGAGTTGCTAAAGGCCTGTACATATGCTACACAAAGGTTTGTTGGTTTGATCACACTGGTAATAAGCTTGTTAACCCAGCATATAATTTTCCAACATGTCCTGATTTTACAATGTGTTTGGTTTGTAGCTTCTCAAACTTAATTTGATTAAAGTGGGGTGTTTCAAAATGAAGTTCCAACAATACCCTTCCAGGAGATGAGGAGAAAAAGGCTATTACATAAATAATCTTAAAGGCTCAGGCAACAATCAATGGCAATCTTAAAAATGCTGAGAGATCAATAAAAACTGCACTCGAGGATCATTTATAAAACATTAGATTATTAGCTACAATTATTTTCTTTGCTAAAGTTAGATATCATTTGGGAAAAATGATAAAATTGTTCACTTTTTGATAAGGTCACATTTAATATACGATCATTTTCAAAGTGGAAAATGGGGTATGATGGAAAAATAATTACTGAACAAGATTTACTGGTTATTTACCCAGACATGTTAACACAAGTAACGACAGACATTCAGGAGGTTTGGGGAGCCAGGCCTCACTCATACAAGTGATTTATAAGAACCAGTATTCAGTACTGAAACGTTTAAGAAAACAAAATGCAACAATCCAATACATAAAAAGAAGGGAAAAAATTAAAACTGCAATTGTTTCGGCAGCATCTATAAAGGAAGATAACCAATGTTTTAAGTGGTAAATAATTGGCAGTTATTATACCTGAGCACCTTGCAAGTTTACAAGGTAGCCATATGTACAATGTTTCAGTTCTGACCACATCCAGAAAGTTAAATCTTTTCTTTCTTCATAGAGGCTACTATACTTACTGTGTGTTTAGAATCACGGCCTTCTATTCCTCAACTTTCTTAAGCATATGTGACTAGGGGCACAGGCTGACTGTAGATATCATAATACGTTAAAGGAGCGGGTTTGACTCTATGTGAAGCACGTATGGTTTTTATATTAGTCCAGCAAGAATTCCAAGAGTGGACATTTTTGGCTGGGTATCTACATGAACCAAAAAGTCAATGATACAAGTCTTTTTTTTTCCTTTTTAAAAATGCACTGCAGTTCCGATTGACTGCATACATCTCTCTCATTGTGTGCACTGTATAATCTATCCAGCTTCTGAAATCAGTCTGATTGTAAAGAATGTGTGAAGTGACTTTGGGCATAATCTGTAGCTCATGAATTTCTTAAACTAATAATTCGTTCCTGGATTAGTTTCTCAATGCCCAACTAGGATGTAGGTCATATCATAATCTGTTTTTGCATGTTGTTGGGTAATTAAAACAATGAATTCATGTGTCCATTTTAATTGCAATGTGTAGGGCATTGTTAGGTTTGTTTTTAAAAAAATGTCAGTGGTATCTAATCTATAATTGCTGACAGCTGCCCAAACAGAAAAGCTTTGGAGCATATTGAAATGTCTTTGGGATAGAAAAGTTAGAAAAGACCTAAACTGGAAAGGGACCAATATCTTAGCAGGGAGATTTGCTCATTCCATTATGAGAGACTTTATACTGATAGAGAGGGGAAATGGAAGAATTCTAAGTAGTAGTGTAAACAGAAGGATTGATGGGGAAGGTTCTGAACATGAGGACAGCAAGTCAATTAGCAACAGACAGAGAGTCAGAGTATGTAGTAACTCGGAGGAACTAATTAGTTATTTCACTGCAAGGGGTGTTGCAGGTAAGGCTGATGAACTCAGGACATATTTAAGAACATGGGATTGGGACGTCATAGCTATTACAAAAACTTGGCTGAGAGATGGACAAGATTGGCAGCTCAATGTTCCAGATTTTAGATGCTGTAGGAAGGATAGAAGAGGAGGCAAGAATGTGTGTGTGAAGGGGGTGGGGGTGCATTTTTGATTAAGAAATACGTTACTGCGGTAACAAGAAGATATTCTGAAAAATCGTCCAGTGAAAATTTAGCGGTAGAAATGGCAAATAAGAAAGGAAAGATCACTTTGATGGGATTGTACTATAGGCCTCCCAATAGTAAGAGGGAAATTGAGAAACAAATATGTAGGGAGATCTCAGATATATGTAAGGTTGTAAAAATGGGGGATTTTAATTTTCCAAACATTGGCTGGGGCTACCAGAGTGTTAAAGGTTTGGATGGTGAAGAATTTTCAAGTATGTTCAAGAAAATTTGCTTTATCAATATGTGGATGCTTCTACTAGAGAAGGAGCAAACGTAAACCTTCTTTTGGGCAATAAGCCAGGACAGATGACTGAAGTAAAAGTGGGGGAACACTTTGGGTCTAGCGATCATAATTCTGTTAGTTTCAAATTGATTATGGAAAAGGATAAGCCTTCCATAAAAGTTAAAGTTTTTAATTGGAGAAGGCAAATTTTAATGGTATGAGACAAGAATTTTCAAAAGTTAATTGGAGTAGACTGTTCACAGCTAGAAGGATGTCTGTCAAGTGGGAGGGGTTCAACAGTGTGATGATTTTGTTTCTGTAAGAGTGAAGGGTAAGGCTGGTGAGATTAAGGAACAATGGATGAATAAAGATATTGACTTTCTAGTCAAGAAAAAAAAGTCTTATTTTAGATATAGACAACTTCATTCAATTAAATCTCTTAAGAATGCCCCTACACACTTTGCATTCCTGATTTATTTCTTAATCAATATAAACAGGGGATATGAGATAGCATTGGCAGATAAGGTTGAGGATAATCCAAAGAGATTCTACAAATAAATTGAGCAAGAGGGTAACTAGAGAGTGGGTAGGGCCTCATAAAAGATCAAGGAGGTCGGCTTTGTGTTGAACCCCAGGAGATGCAAGAGATATTAAATTAATATTTCACGTCAGTTTTTACTGTGAAGAAAGAAATCGAGTCTAGAGAATGCAGAGAAATAAACTTTGATGTTTTAAAAACAGTTCACATTACAGAAGAAGGAGGTTCAGAAGTCTTTAGAGAATATAAAGGTGGATAAATCTCCGGGACCTAATATAATGTATCACAATTCTGGGAAATTATGAGACCCCTTGCAGATGGGTGAATTGCCTGCTGACTGGAGGTTGGCCAATGTTGTACCTTTGTTTAAGAAAGGTTTTACGGAGAAACCGGGGAGCTATACACCTCTGAGTCTGTCGTCAGTTGTAGGAGAATTGTTGGAGGCGATCATAAAATTTAAGAACATTTAGTGAGGCAAAAATTGATTAGGGATAGTCAGCATGGTTTTGTGCGAGGAAAATTGTATCTCACAAGTTTGATTTTTTTGAGGAAGTTACCAAAAAGATTGATGACGGCAGAGCAGTAGACATGCTTATTTGGATTTTAGTAAAGCCCTTGACAAGGTTCTGCATGGTAGACTACTTAGTAAAGTTAGGTCACATGGGGTTCAGGATGAGCTTGCCAGCTGAATACATAATTGCCTTATCGGCAGGAGACAGAGGGTTAAGGGTTGCTTTTTGGGCTGGAGGCCTATGCACAGGGATTGGTTCTGGATCCTGTGTTGTTTGTCATTTTTATATAAATGATTTGGATGAGAATATGGAAGGCATGGTTAGTAAGTTTGCAGATGACACCAAAATTGGTGGCAATACAGACAATGAAGAAGGTTTCTTTAAGATTACAGAGGGATCTTGATCAAATAGGTCAATGGACTGAAAAATGGCAGATGGAATTCGATTTGAATAAATGCAAGGTATTGCATTTTGGTACAACAAACAAGGGTAGGACTTATACAATTAATGGTAGGATTTTGGGTAGCGTTAAAAAACAGAGGGACCTAGGGGTGCAGGTAGATAGTTCTTTTAAGTTTGCGTCACATATAGACGGTGGTTAAAAAGGAGTTTGGCAAGCTTGCCTTCATTGCTCAGTCCTTCGAGTGTAGGAGCTGGGAAAATCATTTTTGGGTTGTACAGGACATTGGTGAGGCCTCTTCTAGAGTACTGTGTCCAGTTCTGGTCGCCCAGTTGTAGGAAGGATACTATCACGCTGGAGATGGCTCAGAAGAGATTTACCAGGATGTTGCCTGGAAGGTTTGAGCTATAAAGAAAGGCTGGATAGGCTGGAACTTTTTTTTAAACTGGAGAGTAGGAGGTTGAAAGGCAACCTTATAGAAGTTTATAAAATAATGAAAGGTATAGATAAGAGTTAATGGTAGTTTCCCAAGAATGGTCTTTTCTCTAGAATGGGGGATTTCAAGAGTAGGGTGCTCATTTTTAAGGTGAGAGGAGAGAGATTTAAAGGACACTTAACAGGCAAATTTTTTACACAGAGGATGGTTCGCATGTGAAATGAACTTTGAGGAAGTAGTGGTGGATGCCGGTACTATTGCAACATTTAAAACACATTTGGATAAGTACATGAATGGGAAAGGTTTGGAGGGATATGGGCCGGGAGCAGGGAGGTGGGACTAGTTTAGTTTGGGATTATGTTCAGCATGGACTGGTTGGATCAAAGGGCCTGCTTCCATGCTGTATGACTCTATGGACTGTTGGCCCAGCAGCTTGGCAGAGGTAAACCTCTGGACATCATGAAAAACCTGTTAGCTAATTTATATTTAAGTGTACAATGACTCCTATAATGTCACATTTACGCCATATGGGTCCAAACAAGATGCTATCAAACAAGCTACAGGCACATGATGTTTGAGCAGCAGGGTGGCTCAGTGGTTGGCACTGCTGCCTCACAGCGCCAGGGACCTGGGTTCGATCCCACCCTCAGGCGACTGTCTGTGTGGAGTTTGCACATTCTCCCCGTATCTGCGTGGGTTTCCTCCCACAGTCCAAAGATGTGCAGTTTAGGTGGATTGGCCATGGTAAATGCCCAAGGATGTTTAGGTTAGGTGGGTTAGACATGGGTAATGCAGGGATAGGGGAATGGGTCTGGATGGGATGCTCTTCAGAGGAGCGGTGTGGACATGTTGGGCCGAATGGTCTGTTTCCATACAGTTGGGATTCTATGAAATAGATTTCCAGAACGGTTTATAGGACAGAATTAAGAAATTAAGCACAATTTAATATGTAAAGTTTACGTTTTGAAAAATGGCAATATCATTAATACTTACCCCACACCACTAACATATGCAGATACCATTCTGACTATCATCATAGTTTTATACTACAGGTGACATAGGCATTTTTGCACAGAGAATTAGAATTCTTAATAACAGCTGCCCAAACAGGTTAATGTAATGTTGCAGACACAAATTGGCCTAGATTTTCCATTGGTAATGATGGTAAGAGTAAAAATTGTTAAGATGTCATCCTCATTACACATCTGAAAGTGAACTTCTTGATTGCACACATGTGCAATAGAATGCTGAAATCCAAAAGTTGCTATCAGTAACTGTACTCTGTAACCCCAGAGAGCAATCAATGGAAAATCAACTGAAGTGACAATAACTTCCACTCTGACACTGTCCTCCATTTTGTTAAATTAAGTGTAACTGAGCATACTAAGTTAATAATTAGTGCTATTCTTATCAGCCCTGAAAAGCTAATTTCATATTTGTGGAGTATCAAATTTCTCAATAATGAGAAAAATGATTTTTCAATCAGTTTTAAATAAATGTTCATCTTTAGTTTAGTTTCTACCTTAATCTAAAATCTAAATTAGAAATGAAGAATATTGATGGCTTTCAACTTTGTTGTTTGCCAGTGTGATTGGCTCTTTATCTGCCTGCTGATATCAGTGCTGCTGCCAGCCAAAACATCACTGTGACCAGGCAGCTGTTTTAAAGGACCATCGGCAAAGAAAAAAACTACATTACAGAGATCTTACCAGGGCTATAATGAGGGCACATCTGGAATGTTTTGTACAGTTTAATCTCCTTACTTAGGAAAGAATACAATTGCAATAGAAGCAGTTCAGTGAATTTTCATATGACAAATTACTGAGACAACAGGTTGAGCAGGTCAGGCCTATACCCATTAGAATTTAAAAGAATGAAAAGCGATTTCATTGAAATGTTTTGAGATCCTGAGTGGATGTAAGAGGGTGAATGCTAAGAACCTGTTTCCTTTCCCCTATAACAGAGGGCAGAAAGAAGTTTTACAATTACAGCTCGTTAAGACGGAAATAAAGATAACTTTTTTTTTTCCTCTCAAAGTTAGTCTGTAGCATGATCTTTTCCAGAGAGAGTGGAGAGCAGGTCATTGAATATATTCAAGGCTGAGTTAAATAGATTTGTGATCAGCAAGGGAGTCGAAGGTATGGGGTACAGACAGGAATGCAGGATTGAGGCCATGAGCAGATCAGTCATGATCTTAACAAATGGCAGAACTGGCTTGAGGTGGCAAATGGCCTTCTCATCTTAATTGTTTTCTTTTTTGTTGACAGACTTCATTCAAACAAATAGTGGGTACCTTTCTTCAACAATAACATAAAATCCAGGCCACAATTAGTGAATGCCATGATAAATATACAGAGCTATAACTGAACCATATCATACCTGCACTTTCTTTTGGTAAATTTTATCCTCAGGGTGTTCTTCTCCAAGTGCTAATATATCATTTTTATCAGAGACTATACAAACAGATCCAAACTACATAACAGAAGGGAAAAGAACACTTTAAGAGCATGGAAATCAGTTCTCAGAAGGAAATAAGTTTGTTTTTTAAATCCACAAAGACAAATCTATGAGTGAAGATCCAACATACAAATATTTTGTAATCAATGCCTAGCTCGTATTCCATGAATCATAGTTTACAAGTAGAAACACCAGAATTGATTGATTCTAACTTTCCTCTTGAAACAAGCATGAATGGAACAGCAACTAAAACATTAACCATTGAAGATGACAGGATTTCACAGAAATATTAAAGGCTGCACAGGAAACAGGATAATGCCTTTAAAGAATAATAAAATAAGGGGTTGATAGAATATAATGGGCAGGCCATCTTCATGAACAAGTAGTCAAAAAACTATATTAATGAGCATTTTCATACCATTTAGAAATGGTCTTTAGAAATAATGTAAAGCGGATTTTCTTTTCCTTAAGTCCATCTATTCAGCACAAATGCTGGTTATCAGAGATAAGTCGACCACAGACATAGGAGCAGAATTAGGCCATTCAGCCCATTGAATATGTTAAACCATTCAATAATGGCCAATATGTTTCTTAACCCCATTCTCCTGCCTCCTCCCCATAACCCTTGATCCCCTTACCAAACAAGTACTGATCTATCTGTATTGACCTCCACAGCCCTCTGCAGCAAAGAGTTTCACAGATTTACCACACTCTGGTTAAAAAGATTCCTCCTCATCTCAGTTCTAAAGGGCCGTCCCTTCACTCTGATGTTGTGCCCTCAGGTCCTAGTCTCACCTATTAGTGGAAACATCTCTATGTCTACTCTATTCAGACCTCTCAGTATTCTGTAAGTTTCAATCAGATCCCCCCTTATCCTTCTAAACTCTATTGAGTACAGACCCAGAATTCTCAAACACTTGTCATTTGACAATCCCTTCATCCACAGTACCATTCATGTAAACCTCCTGTGGACCCCCTCCAATGCTAGCACATGCTTGCTTAGATATGGGGCCCAAAACTGCTCACAATATTCCAAATGCAATCTGAGCAGAGCCTCAAATAGCTTCAGCACTACATCTCTGCTTTTGTTTTCTAGCCCTCTTGAAATTAATGCTATCATTGCAACTGCCTTCCTAACTGCAACTGAAAGGTTAACAGAATCCTGGACTAGGGCTCCTAAGTCCCTTTTCTGCTTCAGGTTTCCAAGGCTTTTCCCTGTTAAGAAAACAGTCTATGCCCCTACTCTTCTTACCAAAGTGCATAATCTCACACATTCCCACAGTGTATTCTGTCTGCCATTTCTTTGCCCACCTTCCTAGCCTGCCCGAGTACTTCTGCAGCCTTCCGGCTTCCTCAACCCCACCTATCTTTGTATGATCTGCAAATTTAGTAACAATATCTTCAGTTCCTTCATCCAGATCATTAATGTATAACATGAATTGTTGTGATCCCAACACAGACCCCTGCTGAATTCCAGAAGTCACCAGCTGCCAACCTGAAAAATACCCAGTACCTTGCCCCTAACATCATGGCCTCTTCTCTTATTTCGCAGCCTCCTGTGCAGCACCTTGTCAAGGCCTTCTGGAAATCCAAATAGATCACATACGCTGGCTCTCCCTTGTCTGACTTCGTCAAAGAATCCTAACAGATTTGTCAGGCATGGCCTCCCCTTGAGAAAGCCATGCTGCCTCAGCCCTATTTTACCATGTATTTCCAAGTACTCTGCAATCTCAACCTTATTAATGGACTCTGAATTCTTAGCAATGACAGAGGTCAGACTAACCAGCCTATTGTTTCCTATCTACTGCCTCCCTCCCTTCTTAAAAACAACGGTGTTACATTAACCATTTTCCAGTCCTCTGACACCCTCCCTGACTCAAGTGATTCAGTGTAGAGATCACCACCAACGTCTGCCCAATCTCCTCCACTTTCTCCTTCAGAACTTTGGGGTGTAGTTCATCTAGCCCAGGTAATGAGTAAGCCCAGGTAATAAGCAAGTCCAGGTCTGGTTCAGACCTTTCACCTTTCCTAGCACCTTCTCCTTAGTGATGGCCACTACACTCACAACTGGCCCCAACTCTGTCAAAGTTCAAGCATGCTTCCACTGTGAAAACGAATGCAAAGTACCAATTCAGTCTCATTTTCCAAGGATCCCATGTCCACTCTTGCCTCTCTCTTAACTTTTAGATATCTTATAAAAAATTCTTGCAGTCTTGTTTTATAATACTAGATAGCTTACTCTCATATTTCATCATCTCCCCCTTCTTTATTTCTTTTATACTTATACACTGCTGCTTTTTAAAGGCTTCCCACTCCTCAGGCTTCCCACTAATCTTTAACATTCTGTATGCTTTTTCTTATGAAAGCAAAAGGAATAGGCATACAATGTGGTGGAGATTAGTGGAAAGTTTTATCAGAAATTGCTCTTTACTGACCAGTGCATCTGCCACCCAATGAATAAATTTGAACACAGCAGACCTATACTATAATGTACAAAAAATCCACAAGATTACAAGTCATCAGTTTTAGGGCACGGGTTGGAACACCCTGAACTACTGGACTTTGGTTTCAAATCTCATTGGCAATCCTAGTGAAAGACTGCAAGAAGGTGTGAGAAATAGAAAATTCACAATGGCTAATATTAGAATTTTGGGATATTATTGGAGTCTTGATCTAGAACAAGAATTTGAAGTGATATCAAATGAAGCATTTGTAAACCCCGAACCAACACAACATAGCTTTGTTAACACAGCATAACTTTATTAACAAACTGTATAATATGAATAAAAAGAAAATGCATCATTGATCCTGACCACCAAAGCAAAGTGTGCATCAGGGTTCACATTTCAGGTCTGTGACTTCATCAGTAGACCTGAAATGTTAACCGTCAATCCACAATTGCTGCCTGACAGAGTGACATTTCCATCAGCACCCGCAGCATTTGGAGAAATTATATTATCTGCCCACAACAACACCACCTTTCCCTCTGGTTTAGCGAAGCACATCTCACCTTAAATTCTCACCACAATAACTTTTTGCAAAACTCCTGCACAATTTAAAGACAAGCATATCTTTAAGTTCACTGCTTTACAGCAGACGGGTGAAAGCATAGAAAGGGCATATATCTTGGTCAGCAGAACTGGTTACGTTTTCCCTGGCTTGGTGTTGTGACAACGGCATCTAACTACAAAATCTATTGGGGAAATCAGGCCAACAACCATCCTGTTTCATCCCAGCCCATCAATCCTGTAGCATCTATTCTCAAAACCACCCTCCCCCCATGCTATGGAATTATGTTTACTCCTCACAGTGGCAGGAAGGTGGGTGGGGGTTGGGAGAAGGGAGCGAAAGGACGAACCCCCAGACTTACTGCACCATCCATTGCACCCACAGTGGAGGAGGAGGAGGAAGAGGAAGGGTGAGCACTGAGCTCCTGCCGTCCACTGAGATGCAGCACGGGGCCCGCGATTGACACATTGCTCAGGGGTGGGACGTCACCTAGCCCCGCCTACCCCGCTGCAGGAAGTGACACGTGGACATGTCATAAGCGGTGGCCCCGCCCCCCACACCGGAGCCACGGGTCAGGTGGTTTCAGGCGACGGCCCAATCAGAGCAGCGTACTGCGGAGGTTGAAGGCGGTAGCCCAATCGGAGCAGCATGCAGCTGAGGGAGGAGGCGGAGACCCAAACAGAGTGAGGGAGAAGGCGGCGGTGAAGAGCGTGAGCGTGGGAGGCGGTTCAGTCAGTGCAGAAGGAGGATGGGGGCGGGGGAGGCGGTCCAATCAGGCTGCAGGAGAGCGGGAGGGGGCGGAGGCGGTCCAATTGGTGCTGCAGGGGAAGCGGTCCAATCAGACAGCATGTGGGCGGGGTTGTGGGCGGGGGGGGAGGCGGTCCAATCAGATAGCAGGAGGGCGGGGGGAGCGGCAGTGTCCTTGGAACAACAACAGAAGTTGCTGGAAAAGCTCAGCAGGTCTGGCAGCATCTGTGAAGAAAAAAATCAGAGTTAACGTTTCGGGTCCGGTGACCCTTCCTCAGAGTTCCGGGTTCGTGTTCCCCGGGTGGAGGTTCAAGTACAAGGAAGGTAGTGTCTGGCTCACTCTGAACTCATTGCAAGATGGTGCGTTTGCTGCCCTTTGACAATGTGGATGACACTTGAGCCGCATTTTTAAACCGTGTTTAATTCGTAGAAACATTGAAGTAGGAGGAGGCCATTCGGCCCTTCGAGCCTGCTCCGCCGTTCTTCATGATCATGGCTGCTGGTCCAACTCAATAGCCTAATCCTGCTTTCTCCACATAACCTTTGATCCCATTCACCCCAAGTGCTATATCTAGTCGCCTCTTGAATACATTCAATGTTTTGGCATCAATAAGTTCCTGTGGTGATGAATTCCACAGGCTCACCACTCTTTGGGTGAAGAAATGTCTCCTCATCTCCGTCCTAAATCGTCTACCCCGAATCCTCAGATTGTGACCGCTGATTCTGGACACACCCACCATCGGGAACATCCTCCCTGCACCCACCCTGTCCAGTCCTGTTGAATTTTATAGGTCTTTATGAGATACCCTCCTCATTCGGCTGAACTCCAGTGAAAACAATCCTGACCTAGTCAATCTTTCCTCGTACGTCAGACCTGCCATTCCCAGAATCTGCCTGGTAAACCTTTGCTGCACACCCTTGAGAGTAAGAGCAACCTTCCAAGGGCACCAAAACTGCACACAATATCCTAGGTGTGGCCTCACCAAGGCCCTGTATAACTACAACAACACATCCATGTTCCTGGATTCGAAACCTCTCGCAATGAAGGCCAACATACCATTTGACTTCTTTACCACTTAATGCACCTGTATGCTTACCTTCAGCAACTGGTGCACAAGGATGCCCAGGTCCTGCTGCACACTCCCCTCTCCCAATTTAAAGCCATTCAGGTAGTAATCTGCCTTCTTATTTTTCCTTCCGAATTGAATAGCCTCACATTTATCCAAATTATACTGCATGTATAATGTTCAATGTATCAAACTGTCTGCACGGACAAGTTGGACAGAAGAGTCTGTACTTCTGTATTCCTCTGTGGGACCAAGTGGATGATGCAGGTTGTATTGTAAAGGAATTTTCTGAAGAAGAATCATATTGTACTCAATGTCAGTTCTGTTTTTCTCTTCACAAATGCTACCAGACCACCTGAGTTTTTCCAGCTTTTTCTGTGTTTTTTCTGATCTCCAGCAGCGGTGGTATTTTGTTTTTTTAAAAGAGCGAACTAAATATGGCAATAGTGAGTGAGAAACAGAAATGGCTTCTCCACTAAAAGTATTGAAGCATGAAGCTGTTTTCAAACTAAAAGTCATAACATTTACTAACTTGTCAAATAACTAGCAAAGGAATTCAGTGAAAAACTTATAACTTATAAGTGAGAATATAAGGAGGAGGAATCCACTTTGTAGAAGATGGCTGAGACTAAATGCCCATCAGAAAGAGGGACCAGCTGCTGGTCTGATATTGAGGAGCATGCATTAGAATGGGTCTTCAAAATTGTCAGAATCATCATCAACCTATAATCACTCAAGTCTGCTACAATTTCAGAGTTTATAAGACTTTCCTAAAATATCGGTGAATATCAGAAACAATTATTTTGCCAGAGATGTAGAGAGAGTATTAAAATTCTAAAGGCTTTATGGTTCAACATGCCAGAATGTGTGTAGAAGCTCAAGCTTGAATTTTTAAAAATTCAAAGGAGTTAAAATGAAGCTGGAAG